TACACCTATGACCCTGGACGCTATTACCCAAGACCCGAGCCTCTCTGTATAGTTTGGGGTGTTGGGTTTCCCGTTTTTCTGTCGCGTGCTGGCTTCCAGTGTTAGATGTGTATGGGCCGACGGAGGCCTCCTGCTGCATCTGTGCGTAGCTCCGTCCGAGTATGCACGCGCGTGAAAGACGCGTCGCGCCAGGTGTGCCAAGGCTCGCATTGCTCGCCATGGCGGGATCGAGGAGGGGTGAAGTTGAAGGAGGGGGAGGAGTCGAGTGGGGCACTGCTGGGAGAGGGGGGAGAGGGGGAAAGGGAAGGATACTGATGAGCGCGGTGCAGAGAGGACTGCTCCAGCGCCGCCGCCACGTCGGATGCAGTGGCCCGAGATCGTTTGTTGTCTGCGGCGTGTGGGTTGCCACGGACGCATGCGTCGACACTGCTGGCTTCGATGGTCCTCGGAGTTGTGCGGATGAGTCCGTGATCGATCGACGTCCGATTGTTATCATTACCATCGTCGCCCCAGGCCGACCCAGGACAACGACGACGACGAGCAGAGGGACGCATCGGCGACGTCGGCACTCGCGGAGACTGCGTCGACGGCAGGAGGGATGGGGGGAGGAGGAGGAGGAGGAGGAAGAGGAGGAGGGAGGAGGAGAACGGAGGTGGAGGATGCGGGGATGGAGATGGAAAGAAGCATGCACGGGATGAGTAGATGTGGGAAGGAAGCATGAGGTGGCGGTGGTCACCATCAGGGGATGGCACGTTTACCGCCTTTTGGCCCCCCCCCCGAACACGCTTTTGGAACGGCCTTGAAGCATCCCTTGGTTAACCCCACGGTTTCCGAGAGGGCCCCAAGGGGGCGCAGTTTGACCCCGTGGGGGTCTGCGGCGGCCTCATGGAAGCTTCGTGCCGCCCCCTCATGGTGACCGCCTGTGGGTTGCTCCTTTATGCGTCTTGGGGGCCGTCTTGATGGCCACCCGTGGGACTCCTCCTGAGGACGATCTCGGAATCGTCGGGAGATCGAGTGGGCCCCCCCCCCCCCCCCCCTCAGGATTTTCACGAAGGGCCCGAGGGGCCTCATATCGCACTAGAGGGCCTGAGGCGGCCCCCTAGACGCCTCGATATGGCTCCCAGGACGCACCTAGCCCCCTTGCCTTCCGTCGCTCGCCCACCCCGAGCTATTCCGCTACTCTCGCGCTCCAAGCTACCCTGCGTATATTTCAATTCCATCCTGCCCTCCCCCCCCCCCCCCCCCCCCTCTCTCACTCTCACGCCCCCGCGCCCCATCGCCCCGCGTATCCACACTTGTTTTGATATCATCCCCGTCCACAGCTTTGTCCCCGTCGGCCGCTCATCCCCCATCTCGCCTGTTTCGCTATCTGCCTTTACATCTTCCGCTGCCACCGCCCGCCATGCTTAGGGAGGAGAAGGAGGAGGAGGACGACGAGGGGGAGGAGGTGGAGGGGGAGGAGGAGGAGGAGATGGAGGAAGAGGGGGACGAGGAGGAGGAGGACGAGGAGGAGGAGGAGATGGAGGAGGAGGAGGGGGAACAGGAGAAAGGAGGAGGATGGGGGGGGAGGAGGCAGGAGGGGGAGGGCCAACGCGGAACAAGGGCACGCCCGCGCGCCGATTCGAAAACCAGCGCGGGCCGAAAGGAACCAGCGCCCCAGAGAACTGAACGTCGCGGCAACTTCAGCGAAACGGATCGGCGACGACGAGCCACATGTGCGAGCCCCGTCACGAGCACGGTGCAGCGCTGCTGAACAAAAACTCAAATGGGCCAGCGCAGAGTGGCCGACAGCGCGGACCCTCCTCCTCCTCCTCCACCTCCTCCTCCTCAACCTCGTCGTCCTCCTCCTCCTTCTCCTCCCCTCCTCCTCCTCCTCATCCTCCTCTCCTCCTCCACCTCCTCCCTCCTTCCCCTCCCTCCTCCCCCCTCCCTCCCTCCCCCCTCCTCCTCCTTCTCCTCCTCCGCCACTTCCTCCTCCTCTTAGCGACAAGCTCTAGGCCCTCATTGGGGCTCCAAGATGGCCCCAAGGGATGGCCAATAACGTCCCACATGTGCTTCAACACTGTTCCAGAGGGCCCGCAAGACGGCTCGACGAGAACACCCCCAGAGCTCCAAGCGCGGGGGCAAGTCGCCTAGAACTCCCAGGGCGCCCTCAGCCCCCAGGACATCTTCAGGAGATGCCCAAGACAGCCCCGAGAGGACCCCTAAGAGCTCTAGGGTATGCCCAACAACTGGTCATGCTTTGGTCGGCGCCCACCACTCACCTCTCCCCCCTCCCTGGCCCTTTGCGCCCTCCATATGCACCAGTGCCAGGTCTCATGTTCGTGCCGCGCCACTCGGTCTCTCTACAGGTTCCCGACCGTACGGCCGCTTCTCGACAACGCTGCTAGCGGCAAATCCGTTACTACCCTCCCTTGCATTCGATGATTCGCGTGCCTCCCCTCTCCCGTCGCCCTCGCCAATCACATTCGCCTCCTCCTCTTTCCGCTCCTAGTTCCGCGCCTCGTGCAACCGCATTCTCCTCGCCCGCCGTTTGCTCATCGTTTGTGCCCTGTCTACCTAATTCACCCTCATCCTCACCTTTTGTTTCTCCCTACACCGCCATTGCCCGCCCTCCCGCCCTCCTTGCCGTCGTCGTCCTATTCGTGTTCCTCCTCATCGATCGCCTTTTCCTGTGCCGCCACTGCCGCCGCTTCCGCGAGCTCCACGTTGCGGTCTAGCGCGTCTGCCGACGTGTGCATTTCGTCGTTGGGGCGCCCGTAGGCGCATGTAGGCCGTTGGGCGTATCGCTGCCCTTCCGTTGGCATGCCCGCGCTGGGAGGGGGGCGCCGCCGCCGCTTTGTGGTCGCGGCCGCGCCGTCGCGCCTAAGCGTTCGTTCGCCTGTTATGTTTCTCAGCGGGGTTCGGCGGGACCCCGTTTGACCGTGGGCCGCGTTGCCCGACCGACTTTGGCGCGCTGCGGTTTCGCGCGGGTCGTCGCGCGTTCCAGCTTGCTCGCGGGATCGTCGGTCGGCGTCGGCGTCGCGCGCGCGGCGGCGGCGCTGCGAAACGAGCTTGCGCGTCAGATCTAACGCTGAGTGCGTGGGTATCGGCGCTGGTCGCTGCTTCGGTGGTGGACTGGCACCGTTTCCCTTTGGCTGCGCCCATGGTTCGTCGCGGCGGGGCGCGTGGTGTAGGCGCGTTGTTGCGTTATTCGCTGTTTGGCGCGTTAGCTGTCCGTGGTCGCGCGGCGTCGCAACCTCTTTGTGACTCGATCGCCGCCGCGAGATCACACCAAATCGTTCAAGGCAGTTTTATTTTGGGAAAAAGCTCGGGGCAGGTACTAGTGATACAAATCAATCTCGTATCTTGATTTAGTCATCATCATCACTACATGATGATGACGATGACGAGGAGATGATGATGATGGATATTATGATGATGACGATGATGAGGAGATGGTGATGATGATGGCGATGACGCGGACGATGATGAATATCATGGCGACGATGATGACGATGATGATGAAAATGATGCAAAAACAGGTTGAGTCGGTTGAGTCCGAAAATTTCGCTTTACATCAAGCCAGGTTATCCCGCGATCGCGACCCTGCGCGAGCTCCACGCAGGGCCGCTAACTCCCACTCAGCTGAAAGACACACTTGAGATGGGTGGCCTGAGCATCAAGGTCACTTCGACCATAGATGTTGAGTCGGTTCTTAAGTTCTTGTCAAGCAAAGACTTGGAGAAGCCGGCCGAGTGTACTTTTTTAGGAGATATCAGCTGGATACGGCAGAAGATGGAGCGAGGAATCGTGCACAGTATTCAGTGGTGCGACACCCGCGATATGAGTGCGGACGGTCACACCAAGGGGGGCATCGACAGAGAAATGCTCCTACAGGTCATGGGAGGTACACAATCCTTCAAACATGACTTAAAGCGTCGTACTCCCTATCGGCTGGCCAGACATCTCGTTCTGTAGCCGCCTGAAGAGTTCTCGCATGCACACTATAGTGCAGGCGAGGCAGCTTGCGTGCGGGCCCACCTTCCTTACGGCCCCGCCCTTGTGCTGCCCTTTCTGTAAATAGTCGCTGCTGTACCTGCTGTATAGAGGCGGCGGGTTCACGCTTCGTCTCCCTCCCCTCCCGACTCTAAAGTGAGGTGGGCGTTGCATGTGAGTGGGGGCGAGCGCGCATCCGCGGCTGCTTGGCTCAATGCGGCCGGCCGCCCAGATCTGACTACACCTCAGCGCGAAGTGCGCCATTTGCCATCGATACCAAAACTGCTTGAGATGGGTCGCCCCCTACTAATGGTACTATCGTTACTACGGTACAACAGAGCGGGAGTTGGGCTTCGCCTAAGGCGAAGCTGCTGGTTGGGCCTCCCAACCCGTTTCAAACTGTCTTGGACGCCTCTTGGGCCGTCTTGGGGCTTCTCGGGGGCCTCTAAGGCCGTCTTGGGCCGTCTTGGGACTTTTTGGGGGCCGCCTTGGGACTTTTTGGGGGCCGCCTTGGAGCGTTGGGGCGCACAAAAAAGGCGAAAGTGCGAACATCCTTCAAAACCTTCAAACACCGAATTGGCATCAATTGCTTTGGCCTCATGGGAATTCTCTTGGAGGCCTCTTGGACCATCTTGGGGCCGTCGTGGGCATCTAGGACATTTTGGCCGATCGTTCGGCGAGTCGGGGCCCGCTTGGACCGTCTTCGGGGCCTCTTGGGGCCCTCCCAGTCCGTCTTCGGGCCCTCTTGGTTCCGAAAATGTCTCGCGAGAACACGCTGGGAAACCCAGGGGAACAACGACAAACTCCGAGATATTTAGCAACTTGAGCTCCGGGCCACTAAGAGACTTGTCAGGAGTGGGGATTGCGGTTTAGGGGATTAGGCAATGGACCCGTGGACACGCCCACCTTTGCCCAGAGGCACGGGGATGGATTGGTCGATGAACGGTGACTTGGAATGTGGTTTTTCAGCACGGCCCTGCAGCGGCAGGAGGGGATCATGGTTCCGAGCGGGTACAGGGGAGGACCGCCTGATCGATCCTGCACAGGATATGCTCTTCCAGGCGCGTTTTGCCTTGCACCGCCCTTTTCAGTCAGTTTTTGAGCTTCAGCGTTGGCCTTCGGACGGCTCTGGGGAGGTCTGGCGCCTCTCAGACACTCGAAGCGTGAACACTTTAACGCAGCATGGCCCGTGATGGCCAGAGAGATGGACAGACAAGTCTTTCCCCAGCGTTCCTGGGTGCCATCGCCCGGGGCGTCTTCTGCCACGGTTCGTTGCTGCCGCAGCCTCTTCGACACGAGATGCAATAGGCATGGCGTCACGTCCAGAGAAGGCTGAGGAGGACAGGAGCACGATTAGGAGGAAGACGGGAAGGGAGGATGAGTGAGAAGGGCACGCAGGATGTTGAGCAGTAGGAGGACAATCTAGAAGATGATGATTGACGAGATGAACAGCATGATGATGCGAGAGGAGGCGAGGGAGGAGGAGAAGAACATGCAGGAAGGATGAGGCGCTGCTTCTCGAGCGAAGCGAGCCATACTGTTCGCGTGCAAGGCACATGTCTCACGCCTGCACGTTTCGCCGCTGCCGCAGTCGCGCGAATTGTGACCAGTCAGTGTCGTCGACAAGCCTGCGTCCACAGTTACCTGCACGGTGGTCGTGTTTTGGGGGCGCACGCGCGACCAGCTTGGATGCGCATTTGCACGTGCCGACTGGGTGGTCGAAGGCCAGACTGTCAGATTGGATTGGGCCCCCAGGGCCAATCTGGCCCGGCCAAACTGGATGATTTGGGTTATTCGCCAGACTGGATTCGCGTTGGCTCCCTCGCCAGATTGCCCCCGTTTGCCAGATTGGGCCTGCCAGATTGGCGCCAGATGGGCTTCGACTACCCAGGCCGAGGCGCATCCATACACACGCTGTGACATGCAGGTTCTGAAGCAGTGCCTGCATTGAGTGGATCTGTCGGTAGGTTCGTTTCGTGCCGACGCGGCAATGACCCCACCACGGGCGTTCAAGATTGAACGCCGCCAGTGGCCCAGAATCCGCCAATATGCAACGATCTGGCCACCGAGAAGCCGCCAACCATTCAAGGTTGAGCGGTCCACGCGGTGTCAGGAACCAACGCCAGGGTTACCAGCGCCACGAACTTGCCGTACATAACACACTGCGACATGCCATTTCACAGACAGTGGTTGCACCGAGGGGTGTTCGGTGCTTGGCGTCACGGGTTGCCAAAGGGGCCGGGCAGGGCTTCAAACGGCAGGGTCCCAGCCGATATGGCCCCAAGCGACAGGCTCCCACAGTTGGCGACATAGAACTATACGCAATCCAGCCTAGACCCCAAACAGTGGGTTTCTAGCAATGTGCGCAATCTACGCGGTGTAATGTATGGTGTGCGGTCCATTTGGGGCAATCTGAGTGGTGCCATGTATGTGGTGCAATTGATTTTAACAAACGAGTTGACCACTCCACTGCTCGCGAAAAATCCCACCCACCCACCCGCAACTTGGTTTGCAACATCTCTTAAGACCGAGACGGTGGGTACCAAATGGCATTTGGCAACGACAGCGACGCCGACGACGACAGCGACAACGACGACGACGCCGCCGACAGCGACTACGACGACACCGACGACGTCTCCAACGACTTCGACGACGCCGACAACGACGACGACACCGACGACGACGACGCCGACGCCGACGACGACGACGACGATGACAACGACGACGACGATGACGACGCCGACGACGACGACAACGACGACACCGACGACGACGACGACGACGACGTCAACGACGCCGACGACGACGACGACGACGACGAAACGGCGGCGACGACGACGGCGCCGACGTCGACGACGCGACGACGACGACGCCGACGCCGACGACGACGACGAAGACGACGACGACGACGTCGCCAACGAAGACGACGACGAGGGAGGAGGACGACGACGGCGACAACGACGACAACGACGACAACGACGAGGGAGGAGGGAGGACGGCGACGACGCGAACGACGAAGAAGGAGGAAGGACGGCGACGCCGACGACGACAACGACGAGGGAGGAGGGAAGACGACGACGACGACAACGACGACGACGACGACTACGGCGACGTAATAGGAGGGACGACGACGAGACGCCTAGGACGGACGACGACGACGACAAGGGATGAGGAGGAAGCACGACCATGGCGACAACGACGACGGAAACGACCACGACGCCAAAGAGGACGACGACGACGAACACGAGGAACGACATAGGACGACGTAGGCGGCGACGACGACGACGACGCGGGAGGAGGGAGGACGGCGACGACGACGACGACGACGCAAGAGCGCGCGCGCACGATTTTGTTGAAAATCAGTGTTGCGAAACCTTTTGTTTGTGTAGGTTTTTTGGACACGATTTTGGAATCCTTCCGAAACCGATGGGTTTTGACGCATTTCGGCAAACGCGCGCGACGACGCGCGGGTCTGCACTTCGTCCAGTTTTTTGCGGAGGACTCTCGCGACGGCACGCGCGCAAGGGCGTTCGACAGATTTCGACATGCGCGCGCGAAGCCCGCTTGGTAGCAGTTTGTGAAAATCTTGAATCGCCTGCGGTTTCCTTAAGCTTTTTTAGCAAATGTGTTTTGCGAAACCCTATGTTTTTGTATGTTGTTTGGGAACTCGATTGCGGAATCCTTCCGGCACCGAAGGTTCTTGAAGGATTTTGGCATGCGCGCGCGACGACGCGCGCGTGCGCACTTCGTTTTGTTCTGTTGCAATGGATTTGTGGCAAAGTCTGATGTTAGTCCCCGGGGATAGTGTAAATTCATATTTTGGATGGACATGTGGTCAGAATCATAAATGACTTACATACCCGAAAGAGGGGCTGCGAACGCCGGGGGGGGGTAGAGCCTATTCTGTTTTTATAAGGGATACTTAATTTTAACAAGCGAGTTGGCACATCCCACGTTCTTGCTAACAACCCCCCCACCAACCCGCAACTTGGTTTGCAAAACCCATGCGGTGACGATTGCGATGCATGCTTGGCGTTGGCTGGTGCATTTTTGCGGCCGCGCCAACCAAAACACGCGCGCGCAGCGGCCAGCTAGTTTGGCACGACCGACTCGAACGCGGTGGCACCGACCGCTGGGCAGTTCCCAGCGTTCATATTTGTGCGAGTCGTCGATTTGGGCGGGGCGCGGTATCATGGTAACACCGACAACGGTATATTCGATGCTGATTGTAGCGATGCTGGTGACGATGCTGATTGCGACGACGGGGCAGCCAGTGACGGCGCCGATGCTGATCATGACGACGAAGAAGATGGCGTCTTCGCGTCGGTGATGAAGGCTTTTGGAAGGAGTTCGAAATGCGCGCGCGGCAGACGCGCGAAAGCGGTCCGCATGGTATTATTTGAGACGGGCCCTGCCACCCCAGCGCGCGCGCACGGGCGTTGAACGATTTGGACATGCCCGCCCGCGAAGCCCGCGTGGTAGCATGTTACGATTGTTTGGGACGCCTATGGTTTTCGCAAGAATTCGCAAGAGTTCGGGTTTGTTTTTTTTCTTTTTTTGTATTATAATTATCTTGAGCATGTATATATACATATACATATACTTATACATATATATATATATATTTATAAGTGTTATGCATATGTTTTTAATATATATATACACACACACAAAGTCGTTAAGCGAAACCTTGTGCTTGTATATGTTGTTTGGGCACTCGATTTTGAACCCCTGCGAATCCGAAGGTGTTTGAAGGATTCACGCATGCGCACACGACGACCCGCGCGTGCGCGCTTCGTCCCATTTGTCCCAAGGGGTTGTTGGAAAGTTGTAAAGTTTGCTCTACGATTGTGCGCGCAGTTAGCTTTTGTGCAGATGATGGTGGGGGTGTCGATGCCGGCCAGGTTGGGACGGTATGGTTCATGTTTCGGATGGACGATTGGGCAGATTTGCATGCAAATTGCAATACGAAAAGGGGAATCGATAACCCGGGGGGGGTTCTCTCTTTAGAAGAGAATGCATGTCGCGTCATCTGTGTTGTGCAATCTGTCGTGTGCATCTCTGTGGCACTACTTACGCAATTTCATATATGTTGTGCAACCGATGTGGTGCAGTCAGTGCTGTACATCCCGCGTTCTTCAATTTATGTGGTCCAGCATGGCGTGGTTCAGCCTAGTTTGTGCAAGCTATACAGTGCAGCCGAAGTGGTGCAATCTACGTGTTGCAACCCCTGCTGTGTGATACGTGTGGTGCAATTTTTGCCCGGCAATCCATGTGCCGCAACACAGGTTGTGCGCCCTATGTGGTGTTACACGTTGTGCAACCCACGTGGTGCAACTTATGCGATTCATTTTATGTCGTGCCAGAAATGGTGCAGTCGAAGTAGGGCAACTTAGCTGTTCAATATATGCATTGCTGTCTCGGTCGTGCAATTTGTGTGGTGCACTCCTACGCGGTGCACTCTATCTTTTGCAACCTGTGAAATACAATCTATGTAGTGCAATTCGCTTTGCCTTACTCGAAGTTGTCAATTCCACTGTTCGGGCAATCGTTCTACCCACCCGCCCGCAACTTGGCTAGCAACGCCCATGCGGCGGCGATTGCGATGGGTGCGTGGCGTTGGCTGGTGCATTTTTGTGGCCGCGCTATCCCGCCCACGCTCGCGCGCGCAGCGGCCAGCTGATTTGGCGCGACCCACGGGGCCGTGGTTGCGCTGACCGCCGGGCAGCTCCCTGCGTGCACTTCGGTGCGGGTTGTCGACTTGGGCGGCGCGGTATCATGGCAACGCCGACAACGGAAGACACGATGGTAGTAGTAACGATGTTGGCGACGGTGGTGACAACGACAACGGCAAGGCCAGTGATGGCGTCGATGCTGTTCACGCTGACGGCGATGACGGCGTCTTCGCGTCGGTGGTGAAGGCTTTGCAAGGAGTTCGACATGCGGGCGCGGCCGACGCGCGAAACTGGCCCGCATGGTATAATTTGACACACGTGTTGGCTCCCCCCAGACGCTCGCGCACGGGCGTCCGAACGATGTCGGCATGCGGCGCGGGAGGCCA